CGTATTATGCAACGAATATGTCAAATATTAACCGTAGATAGGGGAACCTATTGTACCTTCCCACTATGCATAAAAACGTTAAATTAATGAGAACTTTACATCACATTGTTACATTGTAACTCTCATTTTAACTCTTGTTTTCATCTGTAGGACGGACTCATATAACCGTCTAAGCCCAGAGTAGGGACGTTTACTTTTGTGATGAAACAATGTAGACGTTGCGGTGATATTACAGCGCTATCTTGTTACGTTATTCAACGTTATTGGAAGTTCCCAAAAATGATGTCTTTTTAACAAACCAGATGTGACATTCCTGTTATATCCAAGAAAGTATTTTTACTTCTTGTAGACGTTATTATAAAAGCCCATAAAATAAAATCATATTAATGAACCAAATGTGATGTTCCAACTATAAATAGTTCATACGTTTTTATTGTTATCTTTGTTATATATATTTTATATTTCATCTTTATAAAACAATAAAAATAAATAAACTTGAAGTTAAAAGCTTAGAAAACAAGTTAAACTTCTAATTTATAATCCCAGAAAATTTTAGTTATTTTGAAGAAAAAGTATGATAATACAATGGCACAGTTTATAGCTAATAAACTGTGACAATGGTATCAATTAATATCAAAGGTAAAAGAACCTTGATGAAATACTTAACTTAATACCAGATTGCTCCATAATAGAGAGTTGAAGTATTTCTAGTACGTTAACGTAAACGTGAACGTCAACACACAAAAGTAATGGTTACGGTCTAGTCCAAAATAAGAGTTAAAGTTGTTAAACGCGTCGTGACATTTACGTGTCATGACAGATAATGACAATTATTATTAGGATGTCTTCTTTCCTAATTAAAAAGAGGTTATTTTATTTGCGTTACGTGCATACGCCAGAGCCCACAAGCTTACGTATGTACGAAGACGTGAACGTGAAGGATATTTGAATGCGCATGCGTAGATGTCAATTTTCACGTATACGTTTACGTTCATAGCATTACTTAACTCTCTATTATATAGTACTACCGATTACGTAAGTAGCAAGCGATCATTGGTATCTCCATCTATGAACGCAGGACGAACTGTTTGGTCTGCCAGTCTGCGATGTAAATCTTCCATCTTAAAAATGTGCAACTTGTACACATTACTGTGCTAACCTGTTTGCGATATTATTGTGATTTATAAAAATTAACATCGTATAAATGTTTGTCTCAGGAAGTAACTAAAAAGAAGTACAAAAGATGTTTATGTAACTGCTAATTCAAGTATTACAGTTTACATAAAACTTCATTTGTAGATATATGCAAGGAATGTTATTGAATATGATGTTAAACTTTAAACATCTATGGGATATTTTAGTATCGTTTCAAAAATATATCAAGAAAAGTCTCTATGAGAAAAGTTACAAAAAAGACTGGTAATGTTTCATGTTTAGTGGGATTGGACATCGTTGTACCTCGAACGTATCTTCAAAATTCAAACTGCGCGGTACTTTTATTACACGGGATGGTCATGCGCCGGCTAACATCCGACAGTCTAAACACTCTTTTGACCATCTGATGACTAAAGTAGATTTGGGAAGTAGGTTTAATTTTGTTTTTGTTAAAAATGTAAGTAATTTCTTTACGAGTATATCGCAAATATTTGAGGTGTTTTAATTAATTGATTTGTATTTTCCTTGAATCAATTTAGCAGTTATTTGGCTTTTATTTAGTGTATTTTTAACAGATATATTTCTAACCTCAAATTTTTTATGATTACGCATTACACGTTGCTGTACCTTGAACATAATAAACACGGTTCGAGGTACATCATGATTTTATAAAGAAGTGTCTTTAATTTATTTAATTTGTTACAGTTATTATTCGGCGGTAGTTTTACAACAAAATATGCCGCGCAGCAAAACTGAAGTAAAACGAGATCGGCCAGATCCGAAAAAATTAAGAACTGCGATACAATTGATACAAGAAAAAAGACTTACGTTATGCAGTGCTGCAAAACACACTTGATTAGCAAGAAGCCCAATTCGAAGATACATGCAAAGCTTTAAGAAACAGGCAAAGAAAACTACAACTTTGTACATGAAAAAAATGGCAGAATATATTTTTCTTAGCGCAATCAACTGCTTTTAATCGAATAAATGTCACACTCACATTCAATAATTATAAAGCAGCTCTAGAAACATGTCCTCCTTTACAAACTGTTAATTTATGGAATTGTTATGAGAACTGATTATCTACGATCCATGTTCCTCTAAAAATACCAGCTACAAAGGGTACTAAACAGGTTGGAAGCATGACAAGTGCAGAAAGAGGAACGAATATTACCATGGTTTTAGCTGTAAATCCTTGGAGGTGGTTTTGCACCACCAATGCTTATTTTTCCTCACGTCAATTTTAAAGATTTAATGTTGACTGGATCTATTGGTGGTGCAAATCCTTCTGGTTGATCCAATGAAAAATTGTTTATTCAATTTTTTAAGCACTTTCTTCTATACGCAAAGCCGTCAAAAGATTCGCTTTGTATTATGTTGATGGATAATCATGAGACCCACATATCGGTTCCCTGTTATTCAGTTAGCTAAAGATAATGGAGTAATTCTGGTTACATTTCATCCTCACAAGTCACAAAATGCAACCATTAGACAGGACCGTATTTGGTGCGTTTAAAACTTATTTTCAAGGGCCCCACTCACCTCGTTCTTCTCCGCCGTTTTTAACCGACGGTTAAAAACGTTGGAAGGAAGAACGTTGACTGATATGTCCACACACAACAGTTTTTTCGCAGCAGTTTATCACGATGGACCGTACGTGCTTGTTAGAAGTGGCAAGCGGTTTTGGCAGTGGAAAAAAATGGCGAAAAAAGAAAATCTCGAATAAAATGGACTAAAGACTAGCTACTTAAACGCAGTACACTGTCACATACAAAATTTACTGGAGGAGCTAAGATTGGCGATTGGCACAATTACTTGAGGATGGACGAGGATACTTATCGGAAACTGTTAAAACTAGTAACACTGTTAATTGAGAGACCTAATACCCATTTACGTGAATGTATCAGTCCTCACGAACGCCTAACAACTACTCTGCGGCTTCTGGTCACTGGCCGCAGCTATGAGGATCTGAGGTTTTCTGGTATTATTTCACCGCAGGCACTAGGACGCATAAAATACCCGAAACCTACCTATGTGTTATTCTGATGTATAAGCTACATTATTATAAAATTTCGTGAAAATCCATTTAGTAGCTTTTGCGTGAAAGAGTAACAACATACATACCTCAGAATGTTCTACATCGGCATCTCTAGCATTACTTTCATTTGCATCGTCTACCAGAGGTGCGGTTTGTACGTATCCTCCGACCCAGTACCAGATTTCAAACTTTCACCTATTTCAATTCCTTTCGGAATGCCCCCCTAGAGAATCAATTTTTTGTTTTACTGATTTGATTGTTCCATCAGCATCCACTGTTTTATATTTCACCAGTAATGCTTCATACGCCTTGTTTTTCTTGATTCGGTCATGGTATTTCGCCGATTTAACTTTCCACACGCAACGAAATTATCTATAAAGCTCGATAAACTCTAGTAAGGAGTGTCCGTTCCACTGCCTAATATCCGACATTTTTATTATAACCAGTTGTAAGTAATAATAAACAACACAAACATGCTGAACGTCACTGCCACTGATAAATGCCCGACCAATCAAACTGTTGAGAACACACACCTCGTGTTTACTCGAACGGCGGAGAAGAACTAGGTGAGTGGGGCCCTTAACACAGCAATTAATGACGACAAGACTTCACCAGGAAATATTATTAAACCAGTCTTAATTTGTGACCTTGCTCTACTTGTAGGAAAAGCTTTTCCTTTAGCTTTTACACTGAGCAATATCATTCAAGGATTTAAAGTCACCGAATTTGTTCCTCTCAATTTTCGCATCGAATGTGACTGATCCAACTGCAGCAGATGACAATATTTTTTATATCTAATCATCAGATTATTGATGATTTTCCATCAATTTCTTATTGCCTTACCTTCACACAGGCGAATACAAATATTGAAGATGCTCAGGCAGAACATTTGCCTTCAACATCAAGTGGTTTTAGGAGCCCTTCTATGACTACGCCACATCTGAAAGGTGCCCCACGCAAGAACACTCGGAAAGGACGAGAGAAGGGAAGATTATTAAGTGAAAAACTTATTATTGAAGAACAAGAACAACTAAAAGCAAGAAAGATTAACGCATTGCTCAGACCAAAAATACTAAATATTGCCTTAAACAAATCATTAACGTTAAACCAAAAGCACGATCCTGATTCTTCATCAGAAACATCCACATCTGAAGATTTTTCTTTAGACGATTCGAACAGCTCTCTACATTTTTCTGAACCAGATATGGGCATGATATCAATCAAGAATGATGGAATATCATTACTAGAGGCTTCAGGGTACGCAGACAGTGGGGGATTTTGTTATTGTAGTTTATGATGCAAAATTTTTCCCAGGAAAGATACTGGAAACCACTACAAAGGGAGCGGTGGTAAGTGCGATGCAGAAAACCTTTAATTTTAGGAAATGGCCAGAGCGAATCGAGTTGATGTTTTATCCCTGGGAAGATATTCTGCAACATACCCAGCTAGCACATAACGTTGCCAAGCCTTTCGGCGATGTTGCATTAAGGGAACGTAATAACATTACTGTACAACGTAAATGCAACGTTCATGAGAAGTTGTTGAGGGAAATCAAAACCTCGCAAAACTTCTATTTGTTATTTACCTAGTTAACCTACCGTAAACATTACAAATCTGAATTCAGAACGTTTAGTTTTATGTCAATTGTCACTTGTCAGTTTTTCTTGTCAATTGTCTTTTGTAATGGTTTATTTTTCGACATCCAGAATTTATTTTATAAATAATTATTATTTATACATTCGAATAGATTTGGTAAGGGTCCTCTATAAAATAGATAACTATTTTCTAAACCATTGTCTTTGTTTCAGATTACAATGCCTGATGTAAATTTATTATTTCATTCATTAAGTATCTTTAGCAGTCGATGCCGATGACACCAAATAAAAAAAAACTACAATAAAAACAAATAATTGCAGATCAATCGTTGTAAACCAGAAGATAAACATTTAACCGAATGTCCGGCAACATTTTACACCAAATACTTATAAAAGGTAATTATACTTTATCGAACTAAAAATACATTTTAAAAATATTATTTTTTAGGTTTCCTTTGACATTCTAGGAATTTTAGAAGCAAAAGTAAATACTACAGAAGTGTAAAGAAGAATATAACACCTGAAGTTTTATAAAAAGTGAATCTATAGGTACATGATATGTCAGGTATATTAGAATTCAAGCAGTTCATTCTCTTCAACAGGCTAGATTGCCTGGAAATGCAACATCAGTTCAAGTGAAAACCCAGCAGAAAAGTTGAGAGAAATCATAGATGATACTCTCGAGTATAATAGAATATCTTGCTAAAAAACACCAGTTGTTTTTTATAAAATCTACATATCGATGGCTCAATCAAATACTGCCACAACTAAAATACTATTATTTTGAGAAATTTCATTTTGAAATTTTGTAAGTCTCTATTATCATTATTTTGTTTTTGACATACTCTTTATATTTTATTTAAAAGCTTCGATATTTTGCTGTTAAATAAAATGATTACGATTATAAAAGTGAGTTGTTGCATAGTTGTAAAAAATTTGGGTGTTTTTGAAGAAAATAACTCGAATTGAGGCAGTTTTAGACACAGTATGTGGCTACATTTTAAATGATTTATCTTTAAGGATATTTTTGTTCGTGGTGGTATTTAAAGTAAAACCGTAATGATATTTTGCATCCATTGAACCAAAAATGTAATTGCTTTGTTTTTTAACTTGTGGCGTTTTTTGATTGAGCCATCGATATATCTACTTTGGAAATCAAGCATAAAATTTGTAAAATTCAAACAAATTTCAATGCACTAACATTGGTTGTTTTATTTAAAACAACAAAGTAAGGCATATTTTTTAATTTCTATATAATTTCCTTGAATTAATAATAGGTAAACAAGTTATCAATTTCTTTTTTATTCAATGTATTGAGAAGTAAAATCTTTTTATATAAAAATATAATTTATGCTCTTCTAATAAATTGTCATAGTTAGGTTACATTATAGCACTTTATAAATATCTATGCAAAAAAAGTTAAAAGGCTTGATTTAAAAAAGATATATCTCTGCGTCTTAGGTAAGAAATCAGCGAACTTAGCTATCCTCTAGTAATCTAATATAATAATATGTACCTAGTCATTGTTGTATTCGTTTATTATTTTTCACCAATCTAGCTTTATCATCATTCACCATTTAAGGTTTTAGTGAACCTTTGCAATATTGGTACCTTATTATACTATTTAGCTAATTTTGTCCAATCGTTCAGTGCTTTCTAGGTAGCTTCTTCTATCCCACTTGTGTTTGTGATATAAGGTGTGTTCTTTTATTCAATAATTGTTCCATCAGTGATTGATGTAATTTATCTATTCTGCAGTCGTTTTATATTTGAACTCTTATATTTTAGGTTAACTTAAATGATTGATTATCCTCACCATTCGTCTATCACATATCCATCGGCTTTTAAAGCCGATGGATGCCTTGGCTCATTGGTGAACGAACGGTTTGCTGCAAGCGCTGGATACAGCACTGAATAAAAGAACACTCCTACACCTACCTCTACTTTTGTGCTATTGGTACTTGATTTCAAGAACATTTTAATAATAAATTTATATAAATATTTTGTTTTATTTGAAATTTTCATGTCTCGATTGAGATTTTACTATAGCCTCAATTTCAGCCTCTCTGTATTACATTACACAATGTGTGTCCACGGATGGACTTAATTATACTTGTAAAAATATTTATTTTAAATTAAAGAAAAAGTTATTTTTCATAATTTCTCAATGTGAATCGAATTTATTTAACAAGTAAGAAATTATGAAGAATTACTTTTTTAATTTAAAATAAATATTTTCACAAGTATAGTTAAGCCCATCCGTGGACACACTGTATAATGCTGTAGATCTAATTCACATTATAACATCAATAGAACGTTTCAGAGCAACTTTCGGGGTAAGTACCGTAAAAGTGCTAGTGTGATGTTTTTCGAACTTCACTTTGTAACTTCTGTGAGATGTGCTATAAAAGTCTTGCCGTTGCGGACATTCGGTAGTTACAGGGAGATAAGGCTTACATTTACAGTACATTGCATGCGAGCTTAAAGAGCCTAAAATTGCAGCTTATTAACGTAGATGGGATGTTTTTGTGCTAGCTGGGTATCTCTTCCCCTAAGAAAAGTCATTCGAAACGAGACATTTGCAAGGTTAAGGAAATGATGATACTCAACAGAACTTTTGGTTACTGCATTAAAAGTATAGTATTACATACTAATAAAATATATGTCCAAGGTACGTACATCTTGCCTGTGTCCTAGGAACATCATCCCTGTTGTACCTTGGACAACATGTATTTTTTTAATGTTATTTTTCGAAATAAATAATTTATTTTTATCAAAAAAATATATGATATGTTTAACAGTACATATTATACAACGAAAGGTAATAGGTGAACTTAAACAAAATAAAGAAACAAAATGACTCCGAGGCACAACAGGTTCCCCTATGTTTAATTTTGTCATTTAATCTACGGTTTGTAAACTACTACGGTGACCTCTTCCGGTTTCTAAGGAAGGTATAGAGGTCATCAGATAAAACTGCAAAGAACGGTAAATCATCACAAACCAGCGAATAGAAAAACGATTTTTGTTTTTTACATACTAACCTTCAAATTTATAAGAGTTACGCCATCAAATGTACAAGTTAGACGCTGATTATGACGACGCCATCGCGTATATTATAACTGTGACGCAACTGTACTTTTTACTATTAAAACGAAGTCTTAAGTTTTAAGTATAATATTAATTAGGTTTATCTTTGTACATAAAGCGTTACTTCACTTAACTGGGAAAACCAAGTATATTCAATTTTTTTTTAAATCTCAATTCAATATCCTGTAACTCACGAAAAACATTCGTTAAATAAAAATCAAAACAAAACACAGGTATAAATCTATAAACTTATTAATCTACCTAACAATAAAAAACCTACGAGATTCAAGGCGAAAATACCCTTAAACTCCGCAGCAATGTAGCTAATACATTAGCAAGAGATTCCGCTTGCGATGCCAGATGATCTTCAATTGCCTTCTGTGAACTTCTGTCAATGTTAGAGTTCAAAAGCGTACGAAAAGCAGCCGTGACATCGTGAACTTTAAGAATAAGGTTTCTAGTCTGCAAAGGAGCAGTCGTGTGATTGGTCAAATCTTGACAGAGCTCTGTCAACCGCCTGAGGATCGTCAGGCATATTGCCAGATTTTCTGGGAGATCAGGAAGGCTCGGGTCTGACATCGCTATTACCAGCATTTTACTAGACGTTACTAACTGCAGAGATTGCGATGTTAGCTCTTCCTTTGCCGCCTGTAAGTATGTTATTCATTTTCAGTATACCCTAACAAATATTTTTTATAATAGTTACCTGAAATTTTTCTTCACTTATCAATCTTCCTCCTCCGTGCAATTGAGCAGCAGTACATTGTGCTGCCACTTGATCCAATCTGAGTAATAAATTTGTCATAGCCAAGTCAGTTTTCTGGAGCAAATCTTCTCTGTTAGAGGTACAACCATTACGCTTCTGCAAGCTGTCATTAACTTCAGAGCTTTTAAAGCTCGACCGAAAGCGATCAAATAGGTCGGATGAATTAGAAATATGATTCGGCGAACGAGCTAAAGAAGTTTCTTGTAGTTGAGTGCTTGATAATTTTGGAGAATCTGGTGAGTCTAATAGTACAGGAACTAATTTTAGATGAGCGTTTCGTCCTGTAAAAGTATTTTCTTTAAAGAAAGGGTCATTTACACGAGCATGAAAAACTATCGCAGGTTTATATCTGTGAGTACTTTCAAAAGATTTGCCTAATATAGACACTGTCTGAGAGTTGTTCCTCTCTCTCTTTCTCTCTCGCTCGCTCGCTCTCTCAGCCCTTTGTTAAATAAGTTAGGAAAAACGCTATTGGAAGAAAAAATTATTTCACACTTGTTGAAACTTTTGTGACTGTGAATACCCCAAGTACAAAATGTAGGGAAAACGTGCCTATACTGGTTTTTTAAAGCATTAAACCTAATAATTTTATAATTTCGATTACTTTATATCGTATAAAACTAGCTTTTACTCCATTACAGAATCCGGAAATGCTTTACTGTATTAATAACAAAGTCTTAATTGCCAAGAACATTTTTAGGTCTAGAATATTCCGTATCTACATCTGGTGCTACGCTAGTTCCTTTAATGCTGCAATAAAGAGTTGTGGAGAAAACCATATAAATGAGTTTTTACCGATTCAAGGAGTCAATTCATAATTATATTTTCAAGAAAACACTTTACATATTCGAAAAACAAAATTAAACTCATTTCCTTCAGCATTTTTTAAGTCGTTTAATACTTTATTTATTATTAGCACCAATAGTAGCCTTCTGACTATTCATTCTTTGACTCACATAGGCTGTCATTTTCTTTCTATAGAGAGACATTTTTCCTTTATAGTATGTCCAGCGTGAATATAATTTACTGTGTAAATGCCCATCTGAAAGTCTGCAGCAAGTACTGACTGTAAAACGCTTGCTAAATAAACTGAAATAAATATTATATGTTTATTTTTATGTATTTATTTTTAATTATTTGCATATATTAAATTTATTTTTATTTATTTTTATTTATTTTTATTTATTTTTATTTATTTTTATTTATTTTTATTTATTTTTATTTATTTTTATTTATTTTTATTTATTTTTATTTATTTTTATTTATTTTTACTTATTTTTATTTAGTTTTATTTATTTTTATTTATTTTTATTTATTTTTATTTATTTTTATTTATTTTTATTTATTTTTATTTATTTTTATTTATTTTTATTTATTTTTATTTATTTTTATTTATTTTTATTTATTTTTATTTATTTTTATTTATTTTTATTTATTTTTATTTATTTTTATTTATTTTTATTTATTTTTATTTATTTTTATTTATTTTTATTTATTTTTATTTATTTTTATTTATTTTTATTTATTTTTATTTATTTTTATTTATTTTTATTTATTTTTATTTATTTTTATTTATTTTTATTTATTTTTATTTATTTTTATTTATTTTTATTTATTTTTATTTATTTTTATTTATTTTTATTTATTTTTATTTATTTTTATTTATTTTTATTTATTTTTAATTATTTTTATTTACTTTTATTTATTTTTATTTATTTTTATTTATTTTTATTTATTTTTATTTTTTTTTTATTTTTTTTTATTTTTTTTTATTTATTTTTATTTATTTTTATTTATTTTTATTTATTTTTATTTATTTTTATTTATTTTTATTTATTTTTATTTATTTTTATTTATTTTTATTTATTTTTATTTATTTTTATTTATTTTTATTTATTTTTATTTATTTTTATTTATTTTTATTTATTTTTATTTATTTTTATTTATTTTTATTTATTTTTATTTATTTTTATTTATTTTTATTTATTTTTATTTATTTTTATTTATTTTTATTTATTTTTATTTATTTTTATTTATTTTTATTTATTTTTATTTATTTTTATTTATTTTTATTTATTTTTATTTATTTTTATTTATTTTTATTTATTTTTATTTATTTTTATTTATTTTTATTTATTTTTATTTATTTTTATTTCAATTAATTTTTCATTTTTACAATACTCCCCCTTTCTTTAAAATGTAAAAATCCGAAACCTTGAAATATATTATTTTTTATTTATGATGAGTAGAATTCCAATTTTTAAATTCCTACATTAAAAAAACCGAAAGTCCTATACAAACTTTCACCTCCCGTTTTCCCCTTTAATATGTAAAAATCTAAAACGCTGAAACATGTCCATTTATTTATGATGAGTAGCTACAATTCCAATTTTTAAGATCCTACTTTAAAAAAAATCGATATCCCATACAAACTTTCATCCCCTTTCCCTCCTTAAAATCTGAAGATACAAAAACCCTGAATCAAGTCATTATTTATTTGTGATGAGTAGCTATAATTTCAATTTTCAAGTTCCAACATTTAAAAGAATAGGTACCCCACCCCTATATCACCCCCTAACCCCCTATCCCCATATCTCCCTATTCTCCTATCCCTCTATTCCCTTATCCACATATCCCTTATCTTCCATTTTCCCATATATCCCTTTCTCCTTTCCCCATTCCCCCCATTCCCCCTTATTTCCCCCTTCACACCATTCCCCCATTCCTCCTTTTCCCATTCCCCCTTTTCCCCTTCCCCTTTTCCCCATTCCCCATTCCCCATTCCCCATTCCCCATTCCACATTCCACATTCCACATTCCACATTCCACATTCCCCATTCCCCATGCCGTGCTCTGTGAAAAAAAATCTATTCTATGGAACCGTACATTTTTCTGAGATAAAAAGTAGCACTTATTTGCTATTCCATACTATAATCTATATCTGTGCCAAATTTCATCCAGATCCGTTCAGCCGTTCTGGCGTGAATGAGCAACAAATCCATCCAAACTTACGCATTTATAGTGGTTGTAATATCACAAGTTACTCTCAGAAGTGCCTACTATTCGGTTTAAACGACTCTTAAAAATTGTAATTTGACTTACCTAAATGTGGTGACGTAGGAGTACTCACAGCGGTAGCGTGCCTCAAACATGGACTTCCGTTTTCAGTGCCTACAGCACTGGCTTCTAGATCATTAGAAACATTCCGGCTACGTTGAAAAAGCGGAGATCCGATACTAGCCGTTCTAGTTTCTATAGCGGCCTTCATTTGCTGTACACTTTTCTTTTGTCTTAACACTTCTAAAGAGGGTACAGGGGGTAAAGGTGGCTTCTTTGGAGGTAGAAAGAGATGCGGTGGAGGCTGGTGATTGTTTTCTCCACGTGGAGGAAGTTTTGGTGGTGGAAAATCACAGGCAGGTATGATACCAGTAGTCAAAGAATGAGACCTTTGCCTCTCTGGTGCAACAGTTTTTGGTGGTCGTTCGGGAGGTTTTTCATCTGAACTACGTCTCGGTAGTGGTTGAATATTTTCATTTACTTTCAAATTTTTTTCAGTCTTATTTTTTGCACAGCATGAAAAAGGCCCCTTTCTTTCAAATGTAGCGTATTCTATGACTTTTGACGTGCTTACAGCGCTAGTTCCATCGACTACATCTCTAGACTGAGTAGTAGGAATGAATTCCCTTTGAGTTATTGTCAAGTTTTCAGTACTATTTTGTAATGGAGGTGGTGGTATAATGTAGGACATTATCTCTTCGGGGGTCAGTTCTACGGATGGAGTTAATTTTTGTGTCGGAGGAAGGACCGTTACGCTGGCTAAAAAATCCTCGAGATCTTGATGTTCATCTAAAATACCTGTAATGCAAATAGTGTTAATATTGTATTATACTTTTAAGTAAGAATGTTTACCTAATTTATTTAATTTGTCAATCGAATCCGCAAAAGACCGGGGCGGAACATTAATAGGTGTCGGTAAGGCACAATCCAATTCATCTGGGGTACTAGGAGGGGGTAATAACGTCAGATCTATAATATCTGGATCAAAAATATACATATCATTAATAGATTCAGTATCTCCACTAGATATATTATCTTCATTCTTCTTTGACTCGCGAAGATATTGAAGATAGGCTTGAAGATCCTGCTCTTTTTCCGTATGACCGTCAGGACTTCTTAAGCCGAAACTCACCCTAAAATAAAGTAAATTTAGTTTTATAATTATGGTAAGTATATTAATTTGATAAAAAGGCATAAAATCATATACCTATTCAGTTTGTTGTCCAAATTATTCGGTAGAAGTTTATGCTTTGGCGAATTGCTGGGTGTGTAAATAGATTCATTATCGCTCTCTGAGCAAACAGTTTCTTGCCTTAACAATTCAATGGCGGCACTAGTAAAAGAATGCCGCCTTTCTATACCACTGTGCCCTTTATTCAAAAGAAGCAAGGAGTCACTGTGCTTTAATTTTCCTGGTTCATCATTGTCACTTTCAACATCCACACTCGTTTCCTGCCACTCTGCTAATGAATTCAGTCTTTCTAAATTTTCTTGCTCTGTTAAATATTGCTCTGAATATTCTACTAACTGTTGCATTTCTTGAACTCTTCTAAATATCTGTAAAAATAGCAAAAATGTAATCAACAAATCGATATTGGAACATCCCAGATATCATGAGATATTAAAATATGTAAAAATTTACCTCGTCATTTCTAGCTTCAAGAATTCCATTTTCATAAGCTTCACTATCAACATGATTGGGTTTTCCATTATCAACACTGAAGAACCTATTCCTATCAGCTATAGACCTATTCATATTATTATCTAAACTATATTGAATCATCAATGGTTGTTTAGATTGTCGACCAACAGTATTATACAAACCGTTAGTCTTTTTATTAATATTTTTATAAATAGGCATCACAGCAAAACATGAAGTCTTTAAACAACTTTGATCTATGAAGCTCCACTTCTCTGGCACTACTTTATGTTGAGATAAATATGGCGGGGCCAGGTCTTCAATCTGAGGTGGTTCTTCTTGATCTACAGGAAGATTCTGATTTGTTGCTAGCTTGAAATAACCCCGAAGAACAAGTGTTAATTCACAAGCGTCACGTTCTTCTAGAGATATTGGTACTATTTTTTCATTTTGGAGATGGATCAGTACTGTTCTAGTCACTTCATCTTCGCTTCTAACTTCCAGACAACGCATATCTTCTATATTTGCAATAGGAATAGGCTGAAACTTGTAATGATTAGTTAACAAAAACTTAATTGTAAGGACGTTGTGATAGCTTTGAAAATACTGTAAAACAGCTAATTGTGTAAAATTGACAAGACATACTAGAGAAAATAATAGAGAAAATAAATATATAATTGACAATGTTTCTCTAAATATACTTTAAACAAGAAATCAGACATCTACCCAGAAGTGGTTATTTCTGGATACACACTAAAGTCTCTCTCTTAAAAATATAAAATTAACTTTTATTTTAACACAGGTATCATAAATAAGTTAGTTATTCGAACATTAATTTATGGACAGCATCAAAAATTTTATATTAAATTTATTGGAAAATAAAATACAACAGGCAGGGAAAATCGATCGTATAGAGAATTTACTTTACTTTTCATATCTATGACGTCTAATATAATCATTTAAAATTATTTAAATACTTGAATTTCGAGGATACTAACTTAACATTCAATTAATTGCAAAATATATTTCATAAACACTTACAACTGACTTTCTAGTACCCGTAATTTGACTAATTCCGAATTTTGGACTGACCAAAATGACTCTTTCCATAGTATCGCCTCTAGGACCAGCTGAGAAGCACTTAGCGCCATAGCTAGGCAATTGGCCGACGATATCTAAATAGTGCAGCTTCGCTTGAAGTGGTGTGAGCTGTTTACCTAAACCTGCCATACTCGAATGCAGCTTTAAGAAATGTCCAATCAACTTTCGAATTTCTTTTCTCTTTATATTTTCTAAAAGTGACGCTGGAATAAACCGTTCCAAACCAAATTCCCTCCTAAAATATGATTACATAATATATATGTATTTTAACAATTGATTAAAGAAATAAAACTTACTCTACAGTTTTAACAGTCAATTTTGAAGCTTGGACGTTATGGGCTAAGGCATGCTGATAAATATGAAGTGCTGCTAGCCTTAAAGCAGTATCATACTGTAGTTCTGGTGCGAACCTTTCCTGAATGACATCATTGCAACATTGCGTGTACAGATAGTCTAAGGCATGAAGATCTTTCTGAGCCAGAGCTGCTGCAGAGGCTGGTACGAAGGCTACCCTGAAGAGACAGCGGAGCTTATGCGCCCCAGGTCTTGAAGCTATCTGTAAATAAATTAAATATTTTAAAACAATACCAAAATATATTCCAAATAAGATATTTTTATTAAAAAAATAACATGAGTAAATTGTCCCTAAAGGATGTCGATTTGGGTACATTAATTTAAACAATATGGATGTAGTTCTCATAATTTCGTGATGTATCAAGATGATGTATTATTCTGTCGCCACTTCGATGTCCCGATTTCGAACCTTGCGATTATTTTTTTATACCGTAATTTAAAATGACAAATTTATACCGTATGGAAATGGTTGGATTGATCTTAAAATGGAAACGTTGTAGTTAGCGAATAGTGCAAGACTTGTATTTAGATTAGATTTGATTTGGTTAAAACTGTGTGCGATAACAAGGCTTCATACCAGTCGAGGAGTTGAAATTAGGACCAAGGAGGACTAACAATGAGAACATAGCAGACTACGTGGGAAAATACCATAAGTAAAGTTGCTTAGACTATGAAATTTATACCAATAGCAGAGGAATGGGTGAAATGCACCCACCCTCAGGAAAACAAATTACTTTTTAACACAAGTCTCAAGCCACGGATCCTTCAAGACATACAGTTTCAAATTTATAACACTTATCTGTACTATCACAACATACAATGTTTAAATGACCTAGATGGCATATACTGAGACTGTAGCTATAAAATATGCTAGACCTTTCATTTACCTCGAAAACTATAGTGCAGAAGTTAATAATGAAGTTAATAATGAAGTTAATAATGAAGTTAATAATAAAGAGAAGACGTTAAAGTGACGAGAATGATAATGAAAAACAAAGAACAGAAAGGAAGGGGACACAAAGAAAAAAATAGACGTTATGAAGTGTAAGAAAGACCGCTAGAGACGTATGATGCAGTATTCCTTGGGCCAGTGCCGGCGTTTCCAGGCAGTACGCGGAGTTTTTATGTGAGTAATCAAATAAAATTTTTACGATTTCCACACTGTTCAGCAAGCGCCTGCTGTTCGTCGATAAAAAATTATTTTACGTAAAGAAAAAAGTACTGTGGACCATGCAGCCTCCCTCACCTTGATCTTTTAAGATTTATTATGGAAATTCTTTGTTCACTGTTAAGTATTTACTAGGAAACTTCACACAAACTATAAAGTATTTCTCCGGTGTAGCTAATTGCACTTGGTTCTTCTTCTCTAACTGTAAGGCTTCTCAGTCTTTAAGGTCCTTCACAGTAGTATAATACGTGTACTGTAGTTTCCTCCGCTTTCTAAGATAATCGGCACATGGTCTCTTCTGTCAGGCAGCATGTAGCTGTTAAATCTACAATACCCTGTTAATAAACCTACAAGTAATCTAGTAGGTTGCCTATTCAGGTTTAGCAGATTCGCGGAAAGTTTCGGCGATGTTCATGAACTCGCAGGCCTAACTCTGCCATGGTGAATTGTTTAAAGATTTTTGAGAATTAATATCCACTGCTTAGTGCATGTTCTTAAAGCTGCCTTTGTTACACCACAGAAGAATTCTAGGCCAAAAAGAGAATTTAAGGCTCCATCTCGGGCTAGTAAATCAGCCTCTTCATTGCTCTCACGTCCCCTGTGGTCCGGCCCAGAAACCATTAAACCAACACGTTTAGAGAAACAAAGCATTACAATGATCTGTCCGAAAAGGCCTCACTATAGCTAGGTAAGGTTGAAAGTGAGTGGGATGATCGTATCGTCCTTCACAAGACCCAGATGGATCTATTGTGGTTCATGTCGAACTTATAGTTCACTAGGAAACATACCTAGAAGATACACCTTCTGGTGAAGACCATGGTTGAAATGGGAAAGACCTGTTTAAAGTCGGTAGGCTCCAGTCCAGTGAATCCGAAGATCTGGAACCTAGTTCTTTCCAAAGCAGAGCAGGTACATAGAATGTTTTCTACAGATTCGTCTTCCACGCTGCAGAACCGACAGCCCGATGTTTGTTGCAGACCTAATCTTCTTATATGGTTACCCAGACGACAATGTCCTATCATTACTTCCGTGAAAATGCGTAGATCTGGGTCTGAGCAGTGGCGTTCATGGAAGGGTTGGTTATTAATGTCTTCAAATAAGGTAGCGTGAGTGTTACACCCTTTATCCATTTTGAGAAAATTTCTTTGGCAGTGCTCTTTACAATGCCCAAGAAAGGCTCTGATCCTCACTATACCTATCGAACATATTTACGGTAGATTCATGAAAGAAAGGGTCTAAAAATAAAAGTAAATTCAATCCAAATTGTTGGCCCTAACATAATAGCTGAGGTATGTCAAACATTTTACAACTACTTGTGTCTTCTTCCTCTTTGAGTTTGTATGTATAAAGGAACGCTCACATAGTATCGGTTGGATCTAGATGTTTGAAGATGAACCGATTTGGGGTAGTGGCTAGTGGTGGAATAATAGAGGGACAGAAGATCAGATAACACTGGTATGTAAACAACAAGGACCATTTACCGAATCACCGATTATGGAAGCATTAAACATTAAAACAAACTAAAAAAAATTAATTTATTTGGTCGCAAGAAATTGATACAAATAAAGCCGAATAAAACAAATGCCGAATTTAGAAACTTCTTCGAAAACAAGTCTTGAAGGTTTACACAATAAGGGTTGAAGAATTATTATTTGCGACTAGAAAATGTCACTGAAATTAGCTTGCAATCGATTTCCGGCAGAAAACATTTTTAATCATCTACTGTTTATTATTATAGAAACTACCAAAATTTGTGAAACTATTTCCTTTATATAAGAAATGAAGAAAAACGAGCAACATTGTGAGGATATTCCAATCGTATATCCGAAAATTCTAATGGATGTAAGTTTTCCTTTTTTGTAATTGATATATTTTTCAATAAACAAGCTTTTATGAAAATTTAAATTAAAGTTTTACTTGGAGAGACTTAGTTTAAAAGAGGAAAAGTTGTTCAGATTTTTCTTGACGTGTAATGACATTTCTCGAATATTTCCCATTCTTCTTTTACTCGTACCTTTACTTATGACGACCTCAGCACGCTGCAGGGTGCTGCGTAACATTAACAAATTTGTAAATGTACATAACAGTTACAGATTGGCTGCTATCCATCTCTAAAGCCGCTTTTTTCCGTAAATTCAATAATACCTATTTTTCCCATTTGGTAAGAAGTTACTGGGATAAGCTGTATAAGTAATTTTTGTCAACTTTCATTGTTTTTATAGACTTGAAAATGAATAGATTTTGAGTTTCATTTGTCTTAAAATATATTAAGTTCAAATTATTTGCAGGGTTTAAGAAATAATGACAATATCATATAAATACTTTTGTTTATTTTGAAGTAATAGTCCATGGAATTGGTACTTTTTGCCTTAGATAAAATGAAGTAGTTCTGATTTTTTATGTCTGTAGTGATGGGATGGTTAATGACAAATCCAAATTTTCCATCTCGAAAGCCCTTCAGATCATTGTTAAACACTAAAAACTGTAAATTTTAGGACATTTTTCAGTTTTTGTCCATTTTTACCACCAATGACCTGTGTTCCGGCAAAAGTTACTGTGCACACTTTTTAAGTAGACTAAATTTGCAATGAAATGAGAGTAATATGGTTTTGGTAGGCCAAATAGTTTTTAAGATACGGCTATTTAAAAGTTTGCAAAATTTAAAAAAAAAAGAGTTTTACTTCTTTTTTTTTAGTTATCGACAATTTTTACCCCTGTGGAGTGAGTTTATGGGAAAAAAATACTATTTTAGTTATAAAAGTCCACTAAATTCCCAACAAAATGAGACCAATTATGTCAATTTACATCTGATAGTTGCTGATACAAAGCTGTTCATTTGTTGAGGTACGTAAACAATTATGTACTAGAAGGGTTTGCAAAATGAAGTTAGTGAAATAAGCATTATAATTTACTAAAATAAACATTTTACTAATTAAAACATTAATATAAAAAATATTAATGAAACGCCTCATTGTATTTTATGTACAGCACAGTTATAGTCCAGGATCCGTAAGTAAGGTCGACCTTCACCCATCTGTTTACCGGATTAAAGTTTTTTTTTTTATCAAATAAAATATGTTTTTAAATATACCGCAAACAAGTTGCCTAAGAAAATACGGTCATAGCTATTTTTCACTTTCCTCTCTGTGTACAGATAAGGAAAATGTAAAAATCATGATAAAAGTTGCTAAGGATGTCATTCTTTATTATTTTGTTTCTATACATGATTTTCCTAAAATGAACCTAATTTGAGATATTTGATGAAAAGTACAAATTTTGAATTTTGAAGATAACTCAAAAACGGATAAAGAGAAAAACATCAAATTTTAAACTTTAATCTATCCTGCGATGAGCTGATTAAAGTTTGGGTACAGTCAAAGCATTTGGGGAATACTTTACAGGGTGTCGTTTTTTTTTACTTTAAGAAAATAAATAGTCTGGACCGAATTTTCTTAGGTAACCCATTTGCGGTATATTTAAAAACATATTTTATTTAATAAAAAAAAACTTTCATCCGGTAAACAGATGGGCAAAGGTCGACCTTATTTCGGATCTTAGACTGTTAGGGAAATAGTTATTACTTTTTTTTGTATATTTTTGATGGACCAGGCTCGTCCTCTAAAAACACAAAACAACTTTGGGGGCAGCTTGTTGAGGTAGTTTTCTTCATAGAACTGCTCAGGAAGGTCAAAATCGTCATTTGATGAGGTGTCATCAATTAATGGTTCATCAATGTCGTCACACATTAGGTCTGGTATGTCCTCGCAAGATTGGCCAGTGCAGTAGCTGCAAACAGCCGAGCATTTCAGTCCTACTTTCCTGCAACCACAACTGCTAATACAACTTTTTTTGCAGTAACAGAAATCCATATTTAGCAGAGCTTGAGGAGCTGGTGGTGCCATCATCTGTTAAGGAACAAGGCCTTGTGTACTCCGCATCCAGCCCCAATCGAGAGGATTCTTCTCATTTCCCAGCCACTTCTATATCTGAAACAAAATAAACAACAAAATAAGGAACCATGTATAAAGAATGTG